GCGACGGCAAAAAATGCAAAAATCTTGATTTTCGTAATAGAATCTATAGTCTTTTTGCCCTCTTGTACCGCCATCTTGGATTTATCATGTAGGCCCCGCCTGCGCTAGGTATGCGTTAGCAATCTAGATCTCCTATATCTATGGGTCATCCCCTCCTATATCTATGGTCATCCCGCATTGTCATCGATATCCACGGAACAATTCACATCCGTTTATCCAGCCAGTATTAATTAGGTAGCCGATATCGCATTCACAACAATACTTTGCAATTTCATCCATATATCTACAATGATTATATCCAAAATTTCCATCACTTATTAACAGCCTCTTTTTCCGTAGACAATCGGACTCCTCATTGATAGTCGGACGCATCATTGACCCGCGCCCTTAAACAAAATATTCAGTGGATATTCTTCTTATTAGATGCGCCTTCCCAGTGTGACTTGCGCACGCAATTGTTGATTTCAAAACAGTCTGATTGTATTGCATGGACGTGGTTGAGATGCCAAAATCTGAGCAGCACACATTGTAGCTTCATATTTTGTGTGGTGATGGCATCACCAACATATTTTATTAAGTTATATTCGCCATTCCCACTTGCTTTTCTTTACTTTTGTAACTGTTTGTAAGTTTCATTGTTTTCGATTCCATAATTCTGAAAAACATTGAAATATCTTCTGGGGCGTTTGCAGAATACCCTTCCACTTTTTAAGCTATGCCTTTCAAACATCATGGATACGATGTATTAATACATATAATTTATTTTCAATAGACTAATAATAAATAGATTAATAGATTAAAATCTCATGGTGGTAAACGTAGCTACGAGGCATACAGTGAGTCAGTGACTTAGCATTAATACATTGAATTGTCATAGTGTTAAAGGTAGCTCTATATTCTAGTGGATACGCGGATATGCAGTCAAGGACGAGGCATACAGTTAGATTAGCATTAGATCAAATTCGTGGATACGCAGTCAAGTAATTATTTTGAGATTAAGGCGACAGTTAGTTAGCATTAATAGATTAATTAAATTATCATGTATAAGTCGTATAGAGAGCTTCAATGTGGTGTAGATAATATGTAAATATATTCCTCACAATCGGACATTGGTGTTTGACAGATTATGATTAATTAGCGTCGCTGGGAGAAAATATTTTATATTATATAGCATAGCAATCTTGCATGATATTTCCTTTATACTATCAATTCGTAATATTGTCTTAGTAATTAGTTTGTGTACGAGGCAATAAGATCTGGTATTACTAGTGGACGGATATGCGGCAATATTTCTATTTGTGGAAAGTGGTCTTGATGGTCGCTTTGAATCTGAATCAAATTAGACGTATGAAACAGGCTTAATTCTCTTCAATTGGGATGATATATAGTTTTAACTCGCAATAGCAGTTCTTGAGTATTTTCGGGACCAGAAAAAACAAGTTTGTAGTTTCACTATGGGTCTATGGCATCGCGAAGCAAATTGTTCACCTTTCTACAGGTGGTCGTAGACGAACAACATGGAGTGATGGATATATGATGCAAGAGTGGGTTACGCAAGGTATGAAGAGATCCATCGATAACGCGCAGAGGCCTGGACGCGCATCAATGATGAGTCCGACTATCAATGAGGAGTTCGACTGTCTACGGAAAAAAATTTGCGGCGGCGCCAGGGCATTTGT